TAACGAAGCTGCTGAGTTTCACCTGTCAGAGAAATAATAAACTACTGCACTTCAATATACCGTCCCAAAGATAACACCCAAACATGCTACTTCATGTCTCTTCTGGTTTATTCTCCTGCAGACTTTTCGATATTGAAAAAACACTTTGGTTAGATTGAGACTCCTTCCCGTCCTCGCTCTTCTCTTCTCTCTGTTCGCCTATTGTTCTTCTGATCAGAAGCCTCTTTCACACGCTGATTTCATTTCTCTGCATCAAGGCTATTCTCATTTATTTCCTCTCTTTGTCATTTTCTTCATGCTGTAGTCCTCTCCTCTTCTCCTCCATGCTGCGTTGTCTTGTCATTTGGCGTCCTTATCAGCCTCGGCGCGGCCATCGCTTGTCATCACAGTTTTGAAGTTTCCCCGCTTTCATTTTAGCGCGAGGCGTGATGTTGTTTTCATATCTCTCCTGTGTAAATTTGTAATTTTCTTCTCTCAGTTTGTCATCACGTTTTATCACCACGGGTTTTTTCTTATCGCTGTATAAATCAACTCAACCAATTTCAAATGGATCAGTGGGATTTTTTTTTCCTCCTTCCCCATCAGAGAATCTGAAAGAACCTGCGTGATAAAGCTTTTCCTTTTTTTTCCCTCCAGTTTGACTAAAATACTCATTACTGCAGTCGAGTCAAAAGAGCTGATCACAGAGAAACATTACAGAGTGTCAAAACCGGTCTGTGAGCGAGCGTCGGGGGGATTCACGGCTCAGACAGTGTTTCACTCAAAGTTCCTGTTTTTATTTCCTTACAGCGAACGTGACGCGTCCCCAGTGACCGTACATGATCCGCCATTAGAGGATGAATCTGCGATCGTTGTCAAGTCATTTCTACACTGATCTATATGGATTTACCAGGATGGGAGAACAAATCCGTACAGCGTAGTATCGTGATATTTTGTCTGGTGATCTGTCGTATCGTCTCATCCACCAGGTATTGATTTTTGTTCAAATCAATCACAAATATGAAGCTGAATCTATGATAATGGAAAAATAAAAATCACATTTTGTTCCAGTTAAGTTGGCCGAGGTGAAATCATAGAGCAGGAGGAAGTTAGTACAACAAAGAGAAACTGGAGAGGGATATCAGGAATTCAAACAGAGCACAAATGAGATGGACACGACACACGAGGTTAGCAAGAAGTGCGACATGAAAATGAAATACTGCGTAAATAAGACAAACATGATGCTAAATTAGCTAAGTAGTTAAAAAAAATGTATAAATCACAATATATAATATAGCAAAATGTTTAATATTGCAATAATAGCGAATCGTTGCCCAAGTATCGTGATTATATCGTATCCTGGAGCCACACGTGATACCCACCCTGAGTATCTAGGCAGGATATGGCTACGTGTTTCCCTGCGTACTAGTGCTTGATTCTGATTGGTCAGAACACCAATAAAGCAGTAAATAAGTACAGATGTAAGAGCAGCCTAACCGTCTCTAAAGGAGACGAATGGACCTACATCCTGTCCTGCAATCCGTGCAGAGACTGGAGAGACTGGAGAGAGAGTATCTGAAGACAGAAACATCGACATAAATACTGATGCAGGATTCCTGCTCACCTGCTCTCATGTTCAATTTAATGTAAATTAAAACAAATATACTTGATAATGGTCCATTTTAATTTTCCCACATGAATCTGTTGCCATGGAAACATCAGTAAACATACTACCAAAGAGACTATTTCAATAGAATTTTTTTTTGCTCTTTAAATGTTGGTTTTATAACCAATCAGGTCATCTTCAACCAACCTGAATCAATTCTATAATTATATAATAAAGAAGATATTTCAATCAAAATAATAATCTATATTTTTTTAACTCTAAGTTTATTTATCCTTTAATTTCTCTTTTGTATTTTTATTTATGCTGCTGTCATTTTGGATTTTTTTTTTCTAATGTTGACGCTGTCCTGAAGCACAAAGTTCTACATTATTTCTAAGAGTACAAACATGTTTCTTTTACTCATTTATTCGGTTTATTTTCAGCCTTTTTTTGGACTGACGGGACGGATGGACAGAGAAGGAAGCTGAGACCAAGAGGGAAAGAGACGCTGGTCTGTGGAGCCGGTTCATCTGTTTAGTCAGGTATGTAAAGTCAGTTTGACCCGAACATGAAGTTAAACTTTTGATTCGACCTGTTTTATGAATGTGACCTTAAATATCGTTGAATTTACATAAGCATTAAAAAAAACCCTGAATAAAGAGTTCAGACTCGAACCGTCCTTCGTCCTCCACCGCCGTCCTTGTGTGTCTGTTTGACATTCATTGTGTTTTTTTGTGCACTGAGTGGAGCTGAAAATATTCATGAAAGAAACTGAATGACAAAAACAAGACGAGCTCATTAAAACGGGAGTGAAGAGGAGTCAGGTGACGCTGCAGAGACGACGTGGTCGACACCTGTCGTGTTGTCGAGTCTGCGCCTTTGTGTCATCGCTCAGACAGTTTAATAAAATGGCGCTCCGTTGTTGTCGACGTCCCTCCGTGTCCACCAGTTTAGTTTTTACTCAGTCTAAGTTTTTCTCTCCAGCGCCGACTCTCTCCTCCACATTTGGATCTCTCAGCGTGAAGTCGGCGCCGTTCTGGTTTGTGCACAGCGGCGTGTGTGAAAGCAGCACAGCAGGTCGTTTCTGGGATATTTTGGGGATGTTTTAAGGCGACAAACCGTGAGGATGTGACATGTTTGTTCCTGAGGCCTCGCCGACCGACACCGACTCTGACTCTGAAACAGCTGATAAAGTCTGACCACTTCTGATGTGATCAAACACGGCGAATAGTTTTGAAAGTTTTAAGAAACACGCTCGGGTTAATCCAACATGTGATCACACAAACTCATCAGAAGTTTGTGTGCAGGATATGTTGTGACCGGCCTTCACCCAAAAGTCCATCTTTATTAGAGGAGGAGGTCAGAGTTTGAGTTTTGACGTTAAGGAAACTCATTTACCATCAAAAATCTCTTTTTCTTTCCAAACTTCATGTTTGTTTGATATGATCGAGATAAATTTACATGTAATATGTCCAAAAATATGATTATTCTAATTTCTAATGTTAATGAGAAGATGCATTTATGCAGGATGGATAAATAATAGACTGATGGTGAGAATAAATCGTTATTATAACTTAATTTCATTCAATCAAAGTTGCTTCATTTCTTCATTATTGAGTCCAAATGTTTCAGAACAGTTTTTAGAGGAAAAACTGAACCTCTTAAAGGGATATTTCACCGTTTTAGATGTTTGTTTGTCAGTGAGAAACAGGACGTTAGCTCAGCGTCAGTTTTCTTAAATGAGTAAAACTGAGAGACTCTGACATGAACGCTCTTTTTCACTGTGTACCCCGACACTTTTTTACACTAGTCACTAATGAAACAGCTTTAATTTACACTTTCTCACCAGTTGTGCAAAAACTTCACATTTATACTTTGACTGTTTGACATCAGTCCACTCTAAAACACACAAATTTAGATGTAGAAAATATAAAGGTATCCGCCAGTTTATGACTTTGAGTAACTTCCTCCTTCCTTATGTTTAATTGTCATAATTATATTTAATCATAGCAGCATGGTTGTATTCACTCTGAGTACAAATACACAGTGACCTTTTCATAAACACGTTTCCTTTCTCTCTTTAACACCTGAGCTTCATTTACTTTTACTCTTTTCTAAACTGCTGTGGTTCGATCATTTCACTCTGTCGACTGACATACAGAATCTTTTTTGTTTATTTCTATTAAACTTCTCTTTTCAAAATGGAGATTAAATGTTATACGTCATCTCATCCTTACCTAATGTTCCTCCATTGACCTTTTTCTGCTTCTGAGAAGTTTTCCATCGTTAAATCAGGCGTCAGCGTTTGTAAGATTAAAAGTCCGTGTGAAGCTGATTTAATCTGCAGGAGTCATAAAAATAACAGTCCTTTAGATTTATTGTTGTCAGAGATCAGTCTCTGTGTTTTCCTGCGTCTTTCCTCTCTGAAGAGAGCGTGCTCTTGCACAGAAGCGAGGACCCCTGCAGCTTGTTGGCATGTCAGCGGTAGACGCATCATAACCCGTCCTCCTCTCGCTGAGAAGAGTCTGACTCCCGGGATCCTGCTGAGCTAATGTCTGTCCATCGCACTCCCAAATTTACGGCACTTACCGTCCTGAACTGCGAAAACTCCGGGGAGCAGAGAGAATTGAGGTATCCATTCAGACGACAGTTTTACAGCGGTTAAGTTCACTAAGCTCTAAATCCTCCCCCTGACTGAAGACCGGCCTCGTTTCAGACCAAAAGCTGGGAGGAGGAAAGCGAAAGGCGCGCTCAAATTTAGTGTTTAATTTGGTTAATATGGTGGGCCGGCTCTGTGAATTTACTGCAGCCCTCAGTTTGAATTAGACTGCAGAGAGCAGTCAGAGCGAGGCCGCCGCCCCCGCCGCCGCCGCCGCCATCGTCCATATGAATGAAGAGTGGACACTAATGCAAATGCACGAGCGCCGGTCGATACTGTTGTGTTTGCTTTTCTCTACGGATGCCTGTTTACCCAGAGTGTGTGTGTGTGTGTGTGTGTGTGTGTGTGTGTGTGTGTGTGTGTGTGTGTGTGTGTGTGTGTGTGTGTGTGTGTGTGTGTGTGTGTGTGTGTGCTAATGGCTCACACAGAAATATAAAAAATAAAATGCAGAAACATATTCGACACACTCCGTACAGCTCGTTTACAAAGCAAATGGATCCGCGAGTCGGGGCCGGTTTGGGAGGGTAAATGAATACAAGAGCGCTGGAGTGTTCAGTCAATACCGTTACTTCTGCTCGATGTCGGAGAGCGCCGCAGACCCACACATTCCTCCCCGGGAATGAACAGCGGAGGGTCAATGTGTGTTTTAGTCGGCGTGTGATTGAACAGGAACCAGAGAGTTTGTAATTTTCAGCGCAGGTGAACCTTGAAGCGTTTCGACTCACACGAATATAAATGAAAATGAATCGCCGTCACGGTCGGAGCGTCGGTTTTAAATATGAGAGCGGTTTATTCATCCTCCGTACAAACAACGAGGACGTGACACGAGGACGTGACACGAGGAAGTGACACGAGGCGACACATGGAGGTGACCACGAGACCTTCACAGACGCCCTGTTACTGATGGATCTGCAGGTTTTCAATTCAGAAGAATATTTATGTTTAATGATTAACAGGTCGGTTTTCTAAAGAACCCCTTTTTCTTTTAGAGAGTATTATCTCCAATTCCTTTTCAAACACAAAGTTTTGCATGAACCACATTAGTGTGTTTATGAAACAAACGATGACTTAATTTTCAAAGTCCTTACCAAGTCTGCAGAGGACAGAGTCAAACTTCCCTGTGCTCCCAGCTCCGCCCTCATCTTCAGGGATTTATTCTTTATTCTTCTCTCCAAATGAGGATTTAACAAAGTTCCTGAAAGTGTAAATAAACAGTAAAAAGAGGCAAACATCAAAAACTCAAAAACGTCTTTGTTATTGACATGCATCAGGATACTCTGAGAAAGGTGCAGACACGTTGTAGGTACCAAAGCGCTCGGTTTAAAGCCCCCTGCAGTTTTCTTTATTTGCGTTCGTTCATTCAGTTGACCTCGAAATTTTCTCTCCATATAAAACAGAGAAATAAAACTTACTGATTAGCTTTAATTCTATATGTTAAAAAATATGTACGCAGGATCCCTGTTTATCAGTCGATAGTTTTGCTTTTATTCCACATTTCCTAAAAGAGGCGATAATCCAGCTGTCGTTAATCCCCCTCGATAAGTAGTGATAGATCACTTTGTAAAGTTTGTTTATGTTTTCTCCAAAGAAAAAAAACACTTCTGTAATGTCCAGACCGACCACGATCTTTAACGTCATCCGGACCAACTTCCAGCCAATCGTATAGCATGACGTCATCAATAGAACACGCCTATAAACACAGCTGCGCCCCTCAGAAACTCACCGCTCATGTTTCAGGTTACGGATCAGATGTGCTGAGAAGAAAAAAATGATCTTATTAAAAGTCGTCGTGTCATTAATGAAAAAACAAACTAATATCTGCCATGTTTTTTGTTATCAGTAATACAGCAATGAAAAAAATGAGTTTTCAACAAACATCTCATAGTTTTCGTAAACTAACTCAACAATACTATAATCTACGATCAAACCAAAGAAAAAGACAACTGCAAGAAATAATCGATTTATATCATCATGACCCCGATTGGAGAAAAAAAAAAAGTTTGTTGTTTTTATTTTGTTGTCTTTAAGGAAATCTGTATAAAGTTTGCAGATAAGGATTTTTCACAGTGTCTGATTTCCTCGTCTTTTTCTAAACTAACCAACAAATTCAGTTAAAAAACAGCCAAACTGAGTCCGACTTTCTTGGACGAGGTTAACATGTGATCACGTAGTCTGCAGGTAAACAACAGCTGTGTCTCAGTCCAGCGGCTGCAGCCTCCGAAGGTCACTGTTGAAGAAGACCGAATGCGTCACCGCGGCGCTGTCCCGTTTCGAAGGCCCTCTTTGAATACGGCTGACGAATGTCTCCTATTTTCCCCGCGCCGCGAAAGGTGCATCAGGTGTGTCCTTCACAAACCCACTCACCCCAGGATTCTTACAATCAAGATGGTGGACTCTCCGACTGTTAAATAAAAGCAGAATTAAGCGGCACAGATGCTTTAAAACTTACATTCTCTTTTTTTTCTGTTTCTGCAGGACGAACAATCAGGACGTTTCACTCGACTGTAAAAACTCTCGTTTTCTCAGGTTTGTGTATTTTTTAATCAATGTTCAAAATTAAGGGATTACATCAACAAGTGTGACCGACTATCTTTACAATCAGAGGAGATTAATGCGTCTTCTAAGCACTTTATTGGACGGCTTTCTTCAGCCTCTGTAACAGTGAGTGTTTCTGGAAGATTAGCATGTTTTCATAGCCTCAGAAACTAATCAAAGATGTGATCTGGATCCCCAAGAGAGCGAGAGAAACAAGACTAATCTCCCTCTGATTAGAAATGAATGGGAGCTGTGTGTCACAAACACCTGAAATCCTGAAAATAAAGCCCTGATGAATCACCTCTCTGATTAAAGGAAGACATCATCAATCACCTGCGAGCCGTCCAAGACTGAGCCCCAGAGTGTGAAACCAATAAGCAGTGGACTTGGAGGATTTCTCTCCGATACAGAATCACTTTATTACAAACGTCTGTCCTCCTTCCAGGGAGACTTTTTCTGCACTTGAGAGATTTAAAGACGAGTTTTCATTGAGTGCAGAGCTCAGCTCGCTCTCTCCGCTCGCTCACATCAGGATTTATCTGCAGATATTGGACCAGGTGTGGAGCGGCGTGCTATTTTCTTCATCACATAGTCTTTTATTATTTCCATCCTGAATTATAGGCGACTTTCCCCAAAGTAAACCGACAATCTTCAACTCAGACTCCAATATCGCTGCAGCAGGTCGTCCACTCCGAGAAACTTTTTCTTTTTCGGCCTGTTTTGAGTTTTTAGACGTTTAAAGTTTCTGAAATTTTTCTACAAATTTTTAGACTTCAAGAAAACACTAGAGCGGTCGTCTGGATTTCAGAAGCTGAATATCAGGGTCTCAAACTCAGGATTGGGTTCAAAGTTCAGGTCTTACAAGAACGAGTCTGTTTCATTCACAAGTGTACGTTTTATTCATGATGTCAGGCGTACACGCTTACCCCCAATTTCCAACGCATCCTGATCGTCTCCTAAAAGGTCGTATCCTCCGATCGTAGCTGATCGTAACCATTCAAGTTAACGTGTCGATTTACACCGACTTCTTTCCATTCCTCTGCGGATCGCCGGACTCCTCAGCTGATCGCAAGAGTTCGACATTCCACATTCCTCAACTATTGTCCGGATGTAGTTTGGGATCATATGAAGGTCTTCCCTGAAAAAAATCTTTGTCTGGATGGACGCAGATGTTGCTCCTAAACCTGGAGATATTATCTAAAACTGAGGATGCAGCATCTAGGATTTCCAACTCTAAAGTCCAACTGTCCTTTCTGAAAGAGTGTTACCTCAACTTCCACCTCATCCTGATCGTCTCCTAAAAGGTCGTATCCTCCGATCGTAGCTGATCGTAACCATTCAAGTTAACGTGTCAATTTACACTGACTTCTTTCTGTTCCTCTGCGGATCGCCGGACTCCTCAGCTGATCACAAGAGTTCTATTTTTTCCGGACGCCGGAGCATGGCGGATAAATTCAGCACAGATTAACCCGTGCTGGAAAGGAAGTCGGGCACAGACACAAAATAAAACATCCGGCTTCTTTTCAAAATAAAACATCCGGCTTCTTTTCAAAATAAAACATCCGGCTTCTTTTCAAAATAAAACACTCTGTGTTTCAGGAGGATCGTATTTCACACCATGCAAACGGGCGGAGACGAACAAGTGAAAGGTTTTTAGACGTCATTTCACCCCGATGACACCATGGATGAGGAGATGCTGATTCTAGAAGTCTAGAAGTAGATTTCCTCCTCTGGAAGGACACAATCTACTGCTTATATGTCTATGTGTCTGTCTTTAGAGAGACAACTCGTTATCGTATGATTGAACGTGAATCTGCGGGTTCTTGTGAGTTCTCGTGATTCCTGCTGTCCGTAATCTACCACAAATTCGCCTCAAAAACGGATCCGGTAAAAATTGGCTGACGGCGAAAAATCGACGCCATTCCGGATTTGAACCATTCCAGAGTTTACTTTCTGATCATGCATCTGTCTTTCCTTTGCAGACTTGTTGGATTCAGGATCTGTGAACCTTTTTTTTTTAGACTCGCAGTGACAGAAACATTTCCTCTCGGTGTTGACAGCTGAGCGAGTTTCACTGACCGTGGTTTTACAGAGCAAACATCACCTCAGTCACACACCCGTTTAGCAGAGAGTGTTCCTGTGATTTCTGTCACTTTAACGGCTAAAACCACAGAAACATGAATCCAGATGTTCAGGGGAAACTTCGACTTGTCAGAATTTAACTAAAGATGAAATAGACGATAATAATTATTCTGATTATCGTGATAAAATTCTGATTTCTGTTTCACTCCTGGATCTTCAGCCTCCATCGAAGTGAAACTCTTCTCCTCAAACCTCCACTTTTATATTTTTGGCTTCAGGGTCATCAATATTTTCATCAGAGCAGAGGTCCGGCCCCCCCGGCCCCCCTGGGCTCCTGCCACAGTAATATCCAGTGTAATGAGTCTTTGCCAGGCAAACAGAGCCGCCGTAACGATATTGAGAGCTCCTCTTCTTCGTCCACAGACATTATTTCCCCGAGGAAAATGGAAATTAAAAACAGAAAAGAAATTCATCCATTCCCTCCATCAGCATTGACCCACATCAGGAATCAGGAAACAACAGCTGCCCCCCCCCCCTCATCGCCAAGTCTCATAACCCTCCATTAAGTTCCGCCGTCGGCCTGTAAGCCATGACACACTTCACCCACGGCGGGATAAAGTCGGAGGAGTAATCCGACATGAGCGCGGTGACATCACATCTCTCAGCGGGGATGATTCATCCGAACCGCGGGCCTCACGTCGTGTGGGATCTCGCCCTCCTCGTCTTGTGTCGACGTTGCCGGGAGGCTTTTCAAACGCGTCGCTAATTAAGCGGGGAACGTGACCCCGGGCCTCGAGCGGCGACCCAAAAGACGAGAAGAAGAAGAAGAAGTGGAGGATGAAGAATGAGGAGCTCGTCGTTCTTTTCATTAGCTGAAAAATGTCGTCACATTTCTGCGGAGGAATGAGGGGAAAACATTTCTTCATCTTCTGCTCATTAACTCGTTTTTATGGGCAGATAAATATCCAACACGTCTAATGAGAGGAGTTTGGAGAAGTTCAGATGATCTGATCACTTCAGGACGTCGTCATCTAGAAGAGCTTTTATCTGACTTCATTAAATCAACTTCTTTATTCTGATTGGACGATTCTCAGCCAATGACGGTCATCGGTATGATCAGGAAGAGCTCACATGAACATTAAAACGAAGGTTGGATTTAAAGCTTTGTACAGATTTCTTTGACGTTTCTCTCGCCTCTTAAATCTTGAGGTTAATAAAATTTAATGTCATGATTTTAACGCTTCAGGTCGACCAAACATCGAGGTTCAAGTTTGTGTTTTTGACCAAACCTCTGACGGAGTTTCTCCTCGTCTCTCAGTTTCTCTGTCATCAAACTCGAACCTTTAATTTGACTCCGTGTTCCCGTGACTCACATACATGTTTCTCTGCTCTGCACTTTTACAGCTGTCACACAGAATAAACACACACAGAGAAACACACAGTCACACTCCAGCGGGTTAAGAGCGTTATCGTGTTTGAGTCGGAGCTAAACACGCGTTTGACACGTAAGAGGAGCGAGCAGACAGACAGGAAGTGAACAGACAGACCTCGCTCTGTTTGTGATGAGAGTTTGAAACTGTCTGGAGGTTGAATTAGAGATGAGGAGGAGATGATCTGGATCATTTCTTATTTACTTTTCAGTCTGATCCCTCGTCTTACTCGGAGATGTACCCAAAGGGGGGTCAGGGGGGTCATGGTCCCTGATTTAAACACCACAGCTCCGCCCACAAACCACAAACTTTTATCTGGTCTCATCGATTTCTGCAGATCTGAAACAGAGATGCTGAACAGACGTTTTCTGTCTGACGCCCAGTCGTCTCCTCTTCACCTCCTCTGGTCCTAAACTTATATCTGCCTGATTCTGTGGATCTCAGCTGTTCCTCTGCAGCGTTTCTTCCTTCTTCATTTGCATCTTCAGTCCCCCCCCCTCCTTCTTTTTTCCAATTCGTCTTTTCCCCTCCCCCTTAAGGCCCCGCCCTCTTGTCTTTTCCCCTCCCTTTTTTAACACCCTCCCTATCTCCGTTTTTATAGCCCCTCTCTCTTGTTATATACCTTCCTCCTTTTGAAAGCCCCTCCCCCTTATCTTGCCTCCCTTTTTAGCCCCTCCCTCTTATATTCACTCCTCCCTTTTAGCCCCTCCTCCTTGTTTTCCCCTCCCCTTTTTGCCCCCTCCCATTTGTATTCTCCCTTCATTTTTTAACCCCTCCCACCTGTCCTCTCCGCTCCCTTTTGTTAGCCCCTCCTCCTTGTCTTCTCTCCACCTTATTTTAGCCACTCCCTTTGGTTTTCTCCTCTCGCATTTTAGCCCCTCCCTCTTGTCTTTTCTTATTCCCTCTTATTTAAGCCCCTCCCCCCTCACCTTCTTCTCTGCCAACTCTGGCTCTCATTATCTCCCCTCTTTCATCAAAGCCCCTCCCCTTTGCTAGCCCCTCCCCCTTACCTTCTTCCCCCCCTCTCTCTTTATCCGTGGTTGTCTCACAGGGGAGTCTCTCCGCCCCGGTCTTCAGGGATAAAATATCTTTGTGGTTGTCAGATTGAGTGGAGGATCTCCTGGCAGACTCGCTTGAACATCCTCGGGTTTCCTGCTGAGAGGTAAAACGTTGTGGAGCCAAGAACCGGCGGAGTCCCCGCTGGATTCAACTCTGAAGGACTTGGACAACTTTCAAACAGCCTTCTCCGATCGATCGGGGTGGTCCGTCGCTCTAATTGAACGCTCCCGCAGGTCCAACCCGAGACAGTGGAAACCTGAAAACGTGAACTGAGACGGGGGAGCGGCGGCGGCTGCTGGCCGGGGTCCAGGCTGGGTTGCGTTCAGGTTCAGCAGCTCTGTGCAGTCCTGCAGGAGCAGCTGCAGCCTGTTCTCTCTTTAATCCTCACTTTAACTATTCAGGTTCTCTCCTCACATGTTCCAGAGGAGATCCCTTCTTCTTCAGGCGCCGTCTAAAAATCTCTTCAGAGGATCCCAGGAAACTGGTACAGCCTGCAGGAAGCCAGAATGTGTGATAAACACTTTGTTGGCTGTGCAGCAGCTCAGCGCAGCCTCTCTTCATGCTGCTGCTGAGCCTCCGAATTCATGTTTTCAATCCTGCTGCTCTCCTCCAGGTGTTACACGCTGAGGAGGGCCTTGAATATATTCTTGAATTACAGTCCCCTTATCGTAATGTGAGACCTGTGAGGACTGCTGCTTCAGAAGTGCAGGTGTGTGTCCCTGCTGGAGGCTGAATCCTGTGTATGTGTGTGTAGGGGGTTTGTCATATTTTGTGAATAAATGGTGTGAAGGTTGTGAGTCTATCGGGCCCAGATGTGCATTTTCTCTCCCCTTGAGCTGCATAATGGGTTTTGATTCACAGATGAGGACTGAATATCAGCGCAGGTGAGAGGAGGCGGCTCCAGTCTGAGGATGACCTGATGAACGGTCAGATTTCTGATTCATGAACGACAGTTTTTCTCTAATTCAAACCTGATTTTTTAGAAGTGTTTTCATTCAGGTCGACAGGTCTGACAGTTCGGTGTAGATCAGATCTGACCTCCTTCTTTTATCGTCGGCTTTCATGACGAATCTGAACATGAATCTCTGCAGATTTACGTGTTTAAGCGGACGGCTTTTCTTCGATTGTTTCATGGTTCATGTGTTTACATGAGACGACTGAGCATGCCCAGAAGAGACGTCATTCCGCCTTGTCAGAACTTCTCCATCTTCTGAGAACTTTTATCCAGGGTGTGACTGTGGCGATGAAACGCTGGTGTTCAGCACAGTGAAAACCGTTGACTTTATATTCTATGGACAACTTGGCTCCGCCTTCCGCCTGTATACGGATTTGAAGCCGAGAAGTTCTCGGTAATTCCGCGATTTTTCTTCATTTCCTGAAACCAACATTGAGCAGTAGCATTGTACTTATTCGGAGAGTCGCCAAGAGTCGCTGTGATGACGCTCGGCTCGAACAGCGTATCCCCGGGTGAAATACTCAATCTCTGTCCTCCCATAGGCTGTATCAGGTGTCAATCATAGAAATCATGAACCCCCTAATAACTTTTAAAAATGGAGCTGTACAGAAAAAAGAGGACTTGAGCACAAACCAGTCTGACAGTAACTACATGTCAACATCACAACCAGGGGGGAGAAACATTTATATTCTGTGTCATTCATTTAGAAAGTTTGTCCACAGCTCCATAAGGGGGCGGGGTTTATGACCTATACTGCAGCCCGTCACCAGAGGGCGCTGTTCTCGGGGAGGCTTCACTCAGCGAGGAGGCAGACGGCGTTCATTCTAGATACAGATTGGTAGATCTGTTTTAGGATCAGCTGTTTGAAGCTGCTCACCTCCACGTATGTACGGTAGACGTTGAGATGTTTGGCGTGCGCAGACAGAGAGGAGTTTTGATTGGATCACGGGGTGTCGGGTCTAACCCCCCTCTTTGACGGACCTTGAAACCACCTGATCTGTCTGGATAGTTTCTGCTTTGTTATGTTTCCACTTCCTGGTCTGACGGTAATTCTCTGTCAAATATACGGTTTCTTCCTTAAACTCTGATGGAGACAAACACAGCGCAGGAGTCCGAGTTGAACTTGAGTTCAGCAGAGAGCGACAAAAAAAGGCCGTTCAGTCTGATTTCCAGGCCTGGAGGCACTTCAGCGATGAATCCAGGAAAAAAGTGAAAACAGAAAGAGTCTCTTCCCTCTGTAGCGTTGTTATAATCATAGCGAGCCGTGAATTAATCGCTTGTTGATTAAAACTATTACACCCTCATGGCTCATGAAGAAGAGAGTGACTTTTTAATTCCAG